TCCTGAACTCTGCATAAAAAAGACGTTTGTTCAATCACAGAACTTACGTTGGATCATATTTTTCTCAATATTTGATAAATAATTTTTTCACTAACGCTAATTTTGTTTCTAATTTTATTATTTTTCCTGTTTTTCCACAATCACATTTCTACTCCTTGTGACTGACACTCACCTTAATCTGACCCCTTCTTTTAATTTTAGTTGAGCTCTACACAGTCCTGTCAATCATGTTATGTTACTCAATTAACCGGTTCACCCATACTTGTTACCTAAGGCTTAACAAATTTAATGAGACATCTTTGAAAACATTCTTTTTGTTGCTATAAAAATATGCCATATATTATATATGGCTGTAAAGCTTGAGAATGGTACTGCTGAAAAAACTTGCTGTTAGCTGAACGAGTCTTCCCTTACATGACGTAGTGAGAATTTTTGAGCTATTTTGGACCTGACCTTTGTAATAAATCTGTGGTGTACACCAAACTGAACTCCAGTTAGTCAGTTAACCAGCTGTTGAATATTACTTAATGAACAGGACAGATAACTCTTAGAAAACAGAAATACATTCATAGGGCAGTGCGATGCCTACTTCTATCAAAGAACTGACATTCTCTTATATTTATACGACGAAGATTAGAAGTTGATATTAGATGTTTAGAGACAATCGGCAGGAAGCCTTGAGGACCTAGGTTCCATGCTAGTTGGAACTCATCAATTAGCAAAGCGTATATGCAACCGTGAAGGAACTCATCTCCCAACTGAGATTCGAACCCGTGTCACCCAGTGCTGCAGTCAGAGATGTTACCACCTAGCTATTCCGACTCACGATTCACCTCCAACTAGCACTTAACTTAGATCCTCAAGGTTTCCTGCCAAATGCCTTCAACCACCTAATATCAACGATTCCAAGTGTACCCTGATGGCGAGCCACCTAGTGGCATGCTGATCACATTGCAAACTTGACTGATGACAGAATTCAGTCTGCAGCAAACAAGGGACAAGACACAATACACTAGTGTCCAATCAAAGAAGTATTTTTGGATGTAAGCAAACTTTTCTTTACCCACACAGTCATCTATAAAAGACTGTACAATCGTATTCATATTTGCCAAGACCACAAACAAAGTAGTCTGTTGAGTAATGGGACTGCGTGACACATATCTGATCCAATTACTAAGAAGTGGCTTTTAAAGATAAAAACAAATTACGTAATAGTCGGCGACATGATGGAAGTGAGAGTTTGAAATTCGATACGGTGAAAATTGTCACTAGATACGAAGAAGGAAGGTGATTGGGTGTTCACGTAATTGGTGTGAAAAAGGAGAGAGAAAAATCTAGTAAAAGATACATGTAACAGTGATAGTAGTGAATTAATTACTGAAACTAGAATCGAATGAATAGCAGAGTTTAACAGACTTTTTCAGTACACAGAATTCGGCGCTATATTGACGTGTCAAGACCTAACACCTTTTGGATTAATCGGTCTTACCTTGTAGATTATTTTCAAAGTCTGATGGAACTGCGTGACTTCACACCACCAGGTGTCCGAGTAATTGTCTAGTTAGGTGAACAGTCAACCACCTTGGTTGTCATCAAGTTACAATTCTCATTGAAATAAGAATAAAACTTGTGCACTGTGATAGAGTATAATTGCATTATGGGTCAAATTTATTTTGAGAAAGTCTCACAGTGTTATCCAGTAATGTTTACTGATCACTAAGTTTCTAGCACAATTTATTGCTGCTCATAATCATATCAAGGTACTTACACAACTTTCTAACTTCGTTTATATAATGCCATTGCAATGACTTCACTGATTGAGGTCAACTACTCAGGTCAAACTAGTAGGTCAGGGGTAGTCAGATTGTCGGAACATAAGGCGAGAATTGTTGACCCCGAGATGATAAGTAATTTGGAAAAAAGCTCAGCAATCGCACTGCATGCAATAACACACAACCATACAATAGGATGCGAGAGGGTTAAAATTCTAAAAAGTAATCTAGGTAGGTGGAGAGAGAGGTTGACTACTGAATCTTTGTTCATCAAGTCTACACCCAACACATGCAATAGGAATGACTACACATCACTCATACCGGAAATATGGAAAATACTACTACCAATCAAATGAAGCGATGAAATATAATAGAATTATATAAACGAAGTTAGAAAGTTGTGTGAGTATCTTGATATGATTATGAGCAATAAATTGTGCTCGAAACGTAGTGATCAGTAAACATTACTGGATAACACTGTGAGACTTTATCAAAACAAAATTTACCCATAATGGAATAACAATTCTCAACTTATCGAATTTCAAACCCTTACTCCCAGTGCGTTGTTGATTGCTAAGTAATTTTATTATCTTCAGATACCCCTTCTACGTAAATGTATCAATTACGTCAGGCAACCATATACCTTTTAGGTCTTTGAAGGCGACTCTGGAAGCAGGAAAGTTTCTCCGTTGGACTGTCTTTAATTTCCTTCATGAGTTATAGGATATTTATCAATGTGAAAATCACTAATTGCAAACTTTTAAACTAGCTCAATAAGGGTTATTTGATTCATAAAACTGATTCCTTTAAGAATAAGTAACTTTAGCTCCCTTCACAACTGCATAGCCAAGAAAGTCATTGAAAATAGAAGACAAGAAATGAGCACAATTAGCTCCTTTCAACCGATAACCGATAAGGCGGGACAACTAGACAAGGTGTCAGTCAGAGAGACTAAGTTAGCTTAGAAGTACAATGCGCACAATGAGCAACCGACTTCAGGAGCTAACCATGTTAGGTGAAGTAGGAAAGGGTTTAAAAGTAATTCCAAGAGTGGTCAGAATGAAACATAAAAACAATCCATTATAGTCAATGACAATTAGTTTCAATCATATGGATATGGGTTGACTGTCCAGCAGTTGTCCTCGGAATGTTTGTTATTATTAAAGGTTTGAAGCTCTGGTTAATACACCACACGGAAAAATTACCTCGATCCACTTGTTGTCTCTTCAAGATGCCAACAATACACACACTGCAGTTTTGCTATTTAACTACAAATGTGTTCATGAAACCTGTCATGTTGTAAAACCATATGGTGACAAGCATATAGGTAGCGCCAAGAACGGAAAATTAGCCAATAAGGTTCTAAAATTAGGTACGTCAAGTCAGTTGGAGTATGTTGTGTACACTGAGACCCAATTTGACCAAGAAGCACCAAGTTAGCTCCGATAAAGGTTCACCGAAAAACATAGTATCACTAAAACACTAACACAGATGACTAGAAGCAGTTACCATCATAGTGCAAGTTGCTCACACGACATTGGGGGTCTGTAGGCGAAGCTGTATTGCTGGTGAATAGAGATGTGACGGCAGCAGACGACCACCAAGTTGGCTGTGCTGTCTCTTACCTCTGGGGAAGCGGGTTAGAAAACACCGGCCTTGTAAAATAGCACATCCCTACTTACCCTACAGCGGTAAAAACCTCAAAACAAACACAACTTCAAAAGCCAACACACAAAGGTCATGCGTGACTGGGCTCGGTGGTCAAGCAATACCAAAGCTCCTTCTATTTCAAGTATTTCAAAAAGAAATCGACTCCAATGTTGCAGACGGCCTGGAAGCAACAACCGCACAAAGTAACACGATGACTGTTCATGACCTAGCCAATTGTTAGTCTCAGTTGTGCAGAAGAGCATATAACCATGACAAGGAATCATTAAGATGATCACGAGATTGCTGGAATCCACCACCAATCAACTTCTTGGCTAATTCCGTCGTGGTTTCTTCTCCTTTTTAATTTAATAACATTCTGCCTACATAGAAATAAGAATGGAAACTGGCATAATGACTGAAAGAGGTAACACCTTCATGAATGTATCACTTATTCATCCAATAAATAAAAACACTAACTCAAGTTTCAACATAGAACTCTGTACACAGCTGCACCGGTCCATGTTGCCACATTATTCCATGAAGCCCACAAAGGTTGACAAAGGTGAGACAGAAACAGAATTCCAAAAGAAATATAATGAACTGAAATGTGCAGAAGAAAGTATACTGACATAGAGAAACACTAGGGTTTAATGAATATGGGAGATTACAAGAAGGGTGAATACATCTGCACCATCGAGAATGATTTGCAGCCATATCATCACCAGTTGTCTCCAACCGTAAGTTCTTATCATCCCGAGAACCACCACCAACAACCAGGCAGTCTGCATCTTCCCACATGGTGCAAACCAACTGGCATAGACCACACACTCAAGCCTTTCCCAACCCAATCATATCTAAGCTAACATGGCTTGGCAAGGAAGGCGATGGTTTGGAATGAGCAACACATATCCTAGCCATCTCAGTCGATGTAGCTTCACGACCTCGTCGATTGACTTGCCCTCCTTGCCTACTACTTAAAGGGGAGGGGAGGGGAGCACAATAACCACAACAACAGGTTAAATGAATACTATGCGATGCTCATCTAATTGCATGGAGGATTTCATCATGAGCTGACATTAGTTAGAGAACCACTGGAAAACCTGCAGGGAGTACTGGACAGCCAGCTGTTTCGTCCTAGTCTAGGACTCTTCACAGTATGCACCCACCGGGGTTCGAACCCAGGACCTTCTGGTAACAAGGCGAGCTCGTAGACTATTGAGCCACTGGGACCCTATCCAATGGTCCTTGAATTCTAACTTCTGCTAATTCACAAGCATGAACATAACTCTAATAGAAGATATCCTCCTTTTATTTAAATTAATCAGTTTTCAGAGATGATCAAATGTATATCACATCAGAGTTAATTAGTAGTAAATAACTACCATACACAGTAGTAGTAGTAATAATAATAACAGCCAAAGATAATATGAAAAGTTTAAAAGGGTGCTGCTAGTATTGCGCACACAAATACAAAAAGGAGAATTATGCTTTGAGATAGACAGAACATTGTGTCTTCTGAGTTAAATAAGAATTTTTCTCTCTCGCTCTCTCTCTCTGTTGTCTAACTGCATGACGTTGTTATTGTTTTACTTATTTATCGGCACCCAACTGGATCATTTTCTTCTTAGGATCATCGTATATTTCAGTAGGTTGAACCGAGGCCAGCATAACAAGACCATAGGTTAAAATAGACACCAAAAGGATAGAAACAATTAACGAAGACCAAACACCAATACTGAAGTATCCAACACAATCGGTCACATCACCGAATACACCATTCTTAGCACTAAATGGTTCGATCTATAAAAAAAGAGAGAAAATTTAAGAAAACCGTCAAATAGATGTCAATTTTAATCAAATAGACAATCTGTTCTTATTTTTCAGTTACTCAACAACTAGTTGGAATAAACATACATTTGACAATGAGTCAAACTTGCTGTGTAAGAGCTAATGGTACTACTTGCCTGCTCAGACATCAACAGACGGAGAAGGTTTCGAATTCGTGAACCAATGGCTGGAAGTCAAGCGCTACTGACAAAATCCAGTCTGCATCAAACCAAGAACCAGATGCATGACAATGGATTCTATCTAGTGACTAATCAAAGTATCCACCTGGTCAATTGCAAACCTGAACAGCTCAGTGGTAACGTCCTTGACTGCTGCACTGGATGGCACAGGGTTCGAGTCCTCCTTCAAGATTGCAAATAAGCCTTGATGACTGGTGAGTGCCAACAAGCACGAAACCTAGGTGTCCAGAGCTTCTTGCCGAATCCTTCCAAACACCTAATAGCCATAAATTAACTATATGCACGGGGAAATATACATGTAACACACTTTCATATACGTTGAGTTCACTAAATAACATTTGTGACGAGACTGACAATTTGGTGTGATTATAATGGTAGGTAAATTTAGAATTCAGTCAGTGTGCTTAGCTGTGATAAATGACTGTTTACCCTGCTTACTCTGACTGTTCATCGCTGTGTGCTTCTGTTTGTTGTGTATATGCACAAAAAGAATCATTCTTCCGAATGGAAATTTCAAAATTCAGTCCTCTCCGTGCTGTTTGCTGTAGTTCACTGGTAGACGGCTAATGCGGAATACAATTATAAATAGGTTACATTGGCTTTAACAGGACTGACTGACTCCTTTCAGTATAGGACTCTGTACAAATGTGCAGCAGTTCGAGTTGACATTCTAACTCCATGTAGCACACAAAGCAAGAGAAGAGACTATGTAAAGAGAGATAATAAACAGAAGTGTGAGGTAAAAAGAATAGTAATATGGAATAACAGTAGAACTTTACTGGATATTATAAATCACAAAGAGTGAATGCATCTGCACCATTGAGAACGAAGGAGCTTGAGCCATATCACCAATTTGAAAATCCCCATTCAGTCATAAAAGAAAAGAAGGCGTTCAGCGAAGAGACTCTTTTCGGCGAATTCATTCACTTAGCTGTACAATCGCATATTTATACAATTTTGTTTGTGTGTGTGTACATTAGATTTATAAAGTTTAGATAATTATGTAATATAAGTAATTTTTGGCTTGGAAACAAACGTTAAGATGGAAAATAAAATAGAATTGATTAAGTGAGTAGAATTCAGATGAGGTCAGGTTGGAAACAGTGTTAATGAGTGGTGTTTAAAATCAAGTAAGGGTGGGGTTAGAGAATAATACAGTTGAAAATAAGTAAGTTAATCGGATGACGCAACTCAGTTGACTAGAAATTGGACGTGGGTCAAGTTAGTAACATTGTTAATGAGGGTAGAGATTACAAAAGGGTGGGGTAGAGAATAATATAAGTGAAGATGTGAAATAATAAAATGCAAGAGACAAAATAATACAATTAGTAAGACTGAAATTAAGAAAGATTACGTCCATTGTAGATTTAATGAATGAACGAATTTCTTTTGTATGCAAAGTTCAGGATTTAGCAGATGAATTGCCATTGCTTCTGCGATGTGGAGAAGTTTGATCCGTACACTTTTAGCAAGATTGCCTTGTATTCTGTAGATAACTTTGAAGTTTATTTCTGGTTTGACTTGGTGTCCAGAGTCGATCAAATGTTCAAGGATCGAGCTGCGGGGGCATCGGTTTTCTCCTTTATAAAACCATGAAGGTAAATGTTCGTTGACGCGTTTGGATAGCGAACGCTGAGTACGGCCGATATACCTGGCTCCACACGAGCAGGTGAATTGGTAGATGCACATAGATGAGGCCAACAGCGGTAGCTTATCCTTCACGTCCATACGAATCATTGGTCTCGCGGAGAACGTCAGTCGTAATTCAGCTGCAACGAAGGTTTTCTTCAATGAGCGGGAGAGCCGATTTCTCAGTATTTCTGTAGATAGGTCTCCATTGAACTGTAGGTTCATATAGAGAAGTCTTTTTGGAGCACTGGGTGTGGACGGCTTCTCTGGTCTGGGTTTCATTGATTTTGTGATAAATCTTCACCGTCCGTGGGTCCTTGCGACGTTTAAGTAACTTGAAAATCCCCATTCAGTCATATAAAAGAAAAGAAGGCGTTCAGCGTTCTTTTATATGACTGAATGGGGATTTTCAAGTTACTTAAACGTCGCAAGGACCCACGGACGGTGAAGGAGCTGGATGGTTTCCTACGTTACTCCGTCAAACTTGCAGTAGCGAAGACTAAGGTGAACTTCTTAAGAGAGTGTGCAGATAAACATGAATACCCAAAGATGTACTGGAAATCACTCAGACGCAACCACATTCATCCGAACACCAGAACGCTGAGACGACATACGCTAAACAACATCGACTCCATTCAATCACGTATTCCTGAGCTAGAACGAAATGTCTACTCACGTGCTCATGTAGTTGAAGACTTAGATCCAGAACTACGCCAACCCTTCGAAGAATATGTAAAAGAAGTCACAGAGAAACAATGCAACAACATTAAATCTGACCTTCTTAAGAGCCTAAAGCCTTCAGTTAACACCGAACGTCCGTTCCCAAGCAATCCAGAAAAGTATGTATTCAACCTCTCAAACATCACACTATCCACAGCTCAACTAGAGGTGTTATCTCTTGGTCCGAAGTTCTGCGTAAAGCCACGAAGTATTCACAAGCTTCAATGCCTGGTTCAATTTGAAAACCTGATAAACCAAACCTATAACTTGATACCAACGTCCGATGAGAACCTACAACAATTCAAATCAACTGTCCTCGACTGTTGCCACAAATTTATAAATGGCAATACAAACGGAAGATCCGTACTAACGAAGAAACACTACAAAGAGCTGAAAGAATTGATGAACAATGAAGAGATTATGCTGATACGTCCTGATAAAGGTGGAGGAATCGTAATCATGAACCGTAAGGATTATATCAGTAAAATGTTGAGCATTCTATCTGATGAATCTAAATTCACCAAACCGGCCAACGAGAAAAACATGACGGAGCAGAGTGAACAAAAACTAACAGACATCCTCCGTAAACTGAAGAACGAATCCTTCATTACCAACGAAACGTTTGAATCCCTGAAACCATCTGGTTCAAATATACCAAGACTCTACGGACTTCCTAAAGTACACAAGATGGGCACTCCACTTCGACCGATCCTCGACATGACTAATTCACCTTACCACCGCACTGCCCAATGGCTAGCAGACCTACTTGAGCCAATCAGAAAACAGGTCTCCCGTCACTCAGTGCGAGATTCATTTGAATTCGTCAACTGCGTCGAAAACGTCAATGTTTCTAATCAAACGATGATCTCACTAGATGCTGTCTCATTGTTTACAAATGTTCCACTAACTGAAACAATCTGTCACATATGCGAGCTCATCCACTCAGAAGGAGTAAACATCGGCATACCCACCGACTATCTAAAAGAACTTCTGCTGAGATGCACCCTAAACGTCCAGTTCTCCTTTAACAATGAAATATATCGCCAAAAGGATGGTATAGCTATGGGCTCACCACTAGGCCCTCTGCTTGCGGATTTCTTTATGTCAAAACTCGAAAACACTTGCTTAAAGAATATGATTGACAACTTTGAACTCTACAAGAGATACGTCGACGACACCTTCATCATCTGCAACAACGAAGAGAATTTAGAAGATATCCTGAAGTTCTTCAACAACTGCCACCCTGCGATTCAGTTCACGCTAGAGAAAGAGTCTAACTCAAAGATATCTTTTCTTGACGTTCAACTGACGAGACGCCAACAAGACGGGACATTAAAAAGATCCATCTACAGAAAGCCAACGTGGAACGGACAGCTCACTAACTTCCACAGTTGGGTGCCTCTATATACTAAACGAAACTTAATCCGTTCACTAAGCCACAGAATACGTAGAATTTGCAGCCTGGACGCCATAGAAGATGAAATGAACACTCTTAAGAAAATCCTCCTTGAAAATGGCTATCCAGAAAGATTTATCACAAAATCAATGAAACCCAGACCAGAGAAGCCGTCCACACCCAGTGCTCCAAAAAGACTTCTCTATATGAACCTACAGTTCAATGGAGACCAATCTACAGAAATACTGAGAAATCGGCTCTCCCGCTCATTGAAGAAAACCTTCGTTGCAGCTGAATTACGACTGACGTTCTCCGCGAGACCAATGATTCGTATGAACGTGAAGGATAAGCTACCGCTGTTGGCCTCATCTATGTGCATCTACCAATTCACCTGCTCGTGTGGAGCCAGGTATATCGGCCGTACTCAGCGTTCGCTATCCAAACACGTCAACGAACATTTACCTTCATGGTTTTATAAAGGAGAAAACCGATGCCCCCGCAGCTCGATCCTTGAACATTTGATCGACTCTGGACACCAAGTCAAACCAGAAATAAACTTCAAAGTTATCTACAGAATACAAGGCAATCTTGCTAAAAGTGTACGGATCAAACTTCTCCACATCGCAGAAGCAATGGCAATTCATCTGCTAAATCCTGAACTTTGCATACAAAAGAAATTCGTTCATTCATTAAATCTACAATGGACGTAATCTTTCTTAATTTCAGTCTTACTAATTGTATTATTTTGTCTCTTGCATTTTATTATTTCACATCTTCACTTATATTATTCTCTACCCCACCCTTTTGTAATCTCTACCCTCATTAACAATGTTACTAACTTGACCCACGTCCAATTTCTAGTCAACTGAGTTGCGTCATCCGATTAACTTACTTATTTTCAACTGTATTATTCTCTAACCCCACCCTTACTTGATTTTAAACACCACTCATTAACACTGTTTCCAACCTGACCTCATCTGAATTCTACTCACTTAATCAATTCTATTTTATTTTCCATCTTAACGTTTGTTTCCAAGCCAAAAATTACTTATATTACATAATTATCTAAACTTTATAAATCTAATGTACACACACACAAACAAAATTGTATAAATATGCGATTGTACAGCTAAGTGAATGAATTCGCCGAAAAGAGTCTCTTCGCTGAACGCCTTCTTTTCTTTTATATCACCAATTGTCTCCAGCCACTGATTTTTACCAACGCGAGGGCCCAAATCAGACAGCAGTCTTCACCTCCCTAAATGGCTAAAACTAACTGTTATGGATTTCATTGACTGGTGCCATTTTTTCGTTTGACCACCACTACCTCTTTTCCAACCTGACCATATGTCAGCTAACATTCCCCATCGAGGAAGGCGATCGATGGTTAGTCATGCATAAAGCATGTTCTAACCATCTCAATCGGTATAACTACACAATCTTGTCGACTGATTTCACCTCTTTACCTAGCACTCGACGCCTAACCTCAATATCGCCCACCTTATTATCCCACTTAACAAGTGAGATAAAAGACAAACACCTATGATCAAAGACAGCCAGCCTTTTCATGTGTTCCACTTTCAATGGTGGAAGCCTCAGGATGGTCGGGGGTGGGTGCCTTGCGCTGCGGGTTGGCCACCCCTCCGAACACCTCTTGAAATGCTCCCATATGACCGGGCGTCTTACATAGCCTCTCCTGAGGAAGTCCTACTCACTGCCTTTACGTGGCGGAGGTGTTTTTCACCAAAGTGAGAGGGCGAAAGCGGATGCCCGGCGCTCTTCACCGGGTTGACTGTCCATTGGATGACAGTCTAGGGGAGATGGCTAAACCCTGATTCCAAACCTCCAACGACTGGCGTATGAAGCTCACTGGAGCTCACCGGCAGACGTATGGACAAAGGGCTTGTTGGATGTCCTGGATGTCTGGCCCCATTCAAAAAGGCGTATGAACCGAACTCCGGTCACCGGCTGCCAATGGATAGCGGACTCCCTACTCCACTCCTACTGCCTTGTAGGTCACACTTAGTTGTGTAAAGGCTAGAGCTGCACTCTCAAACAAAAGGCCGAGTGATTCTGGGGACATCATTCGTGCCAAATTCCCATGAAACTTCATGAACTCTCTTACAAACGACGCAAAACCTTGCATCAGATCGCCGCGCCTGGGCAGCGATGATTCGAGATGTTCATGAAGCCGGCTCATCCTCCCGTAGGAGATAGCCGAAGTAAAGAAGAAGAAGACTTTCAATGGTCATGTCTCGCAACCACAGAGGAGGACGGAGAAGACTGCTGAGCAGTACACACGAATAAGTAAATTGGTCAACACGCTCCACCACTTCACTCCCTATCCTTAAGCTAGGAGTGAGTTGATGTAGTCCAGTCCCAAAGCATCGTCTTACATTTGACAGGAGCGAATCGCATGCCATTCATTCGAAGATTGCTGCCCGTCAAGGTGTTCAAAAGACTCAGCATTTTGTCAGCGTCTTCCCCTAGGTGGGAGGACTATACCATCTGTATATTCTAAGTCAACAAGATTATTCCCTGGTAGCAAGTCAATCCCTGAATGGCTGAAGTCAGTTAGGGTTAAGTCCATTCGGACATCTATGATGAAATTAAATAGAAATGGGAACAGTGGGCAACCCTGGCTTTAACAGGAGTTAAATATTACAAGTAATATTAATGTGTTAAGAAGTCTGATATAATCAGAGATGTTTACACAGAATCAGTCAGCTGAGCCTGGATCTCCAGATCCATTACAACGCTATTCAACACACATCTTGAGCAATCAGAAATGTCTCAGACTGAAAATTATGTCTGAAAGAGCCTCATGGACGTTAGACATTAAGACTGTAAGTCGTTTTGTTTCTTATCCGTAAAGACAGGCTTAGTTAAGTGTCTGGTAAACCAAACGAAAACTTTAAGTAGTGTGTCAGGAAATCTAATTGATGAAATAAAACGGAAGCATTGGTGCTGAATAACTATTTCATAAAATTCATTATGAAGTTGAGTAAATCTGACAACGGAATAAAAAATAGTAGTGAAACTATTCGCCACAATATAAATAAGAGGAGGAATTCAAGGCATCTACAGTTTTACGATATAATGAATGGGACTTCTGAAAAACTACCTAGGATTCTAATTAAAGCCAGAATTACGATGAAATTTAAGCCTACAAATTTACTGAGGGACCCTAATAACCCAAATAGACAGGATATTTTGATAAACAGATTACCTTGCCAAGACTTTGAGGCTAATTACATAAGTCAAACGAATAGATCGAGGCAGGTGAGGTTATCAGAACAGGGGAATTTAGCTAGATATAGAATGATTGGTTCAGTTGAATTGAATAGTCTAGAAAAACGCCCGGCTACTGCAATGCATTCACCTCACACTTATGTTTATTATTTCGCTTCTAACCCCTCTTTAATTCCTCCTCTTGCTTTGTGTGATACATGAAGAGTGGCAACTCCAATGATGCACATCCATGCAAAGTTGTGTTGAAACCACTCTTATGTAATCACACAATAGGGTGGAACAGAGATACAATTCTACAAGGTAATATAGGCAAATGGAGAGAAACGTTGATCACCGAATATTTGTTCATCGAATTTACACCTGCAGTAGGAATGACTTGAAGGTAATACCAGATACACGGAACTATTACTACCAATGAAATCAAATATAGCATCACCATAGTAAACTATATACCACCATTTCAGTCACGGTATAATTCTAGCTAAAATTTCACATCAGAAGTCTTAGTGTATCGACATCTACGATATGGAAAGCATTCATCACCAAGCGCTGTTCATCATAACGTTATTCGTCCAGACATTTCGTATACAGACTAACGGAGTGTTACAGTATATGGAGAATATGAAATAGCAGAAACACTCGACGAAAAAGGTACCAAACCATTTTGTTAATTCAGTAATTCAATATACATTTAAGTCGTTTAGAATAAAAAGAACGACTCAACAGCTTTGAAAATCAATTTCGACTAAATGCAAAGCTACAATGAATATTTTTGGGTCAGGTAACTTGAATATTAGAATTCAGTTACTTACTTCGTGAGAGGTCCCAATGGAATTGGAGTGCTTAATCCTATGAGCAGCTCCTTCACACCAAAAAGAATGTTGAAATACTTCAAAAACATATATGAATGATTCCTACAACATTAATTGCTGTATGAATTAGACCCTGTGTATTCCATAATTACAGCTACTTCTGCATATCAGTTATGCATTGCTTAAATTGCACGTCTTTACTTACTTTCCTTTAGTAGCAAATGACGGCACAGACCAAAGCTGTACTTACAGAAAAAAGAAAGGGTACCTTCTGACTGACAGTTTTCAACGTGGAGCTTTGCACAGAGGCGTAGCAGTGTCAGCTGGCAAACTCCACTTAACCACAAAGGGAGGCAAAAGCCAGAAAAAAGACAAAGCTTGTAATTGAAGATGGTTCGGCATCAGAAACACGTGCCTTAGCCATCTCAATCGATACAGCTTCACAACCTCAACCAAAGACTTTCCCTCCTTACCTGATACTTAGGGTTTAACCTCACTAATACTCAATATACAACTTAACAGGAGATATGGGGAACATACTTACGGTGAGGGGACGCACGCCTTACACTTCCGACAGGTAGGTCTCATCCACAAGGAAGGACGGAGTATAGCTTTGCAGTACACACATTCTTTGGTCGTTATCCGGTTACCACGAATACACCAGAGATAATGTAATCTAGCAAGTGCTACAATAGCCTTTTGTATTTGTGGTGACATTTCAGCAGTTGCCCCATAAGAGATGATGCAACTTTTCAAATAAGTTATAAACACGCCCAACCACTTCACTCCCTATCTTTAAACCAGGAGTCACACTAGGCCAGTCGTGTAACACCACCATACATTTAATAGGAGTGGATAGCATACGAAACATATATTTCTGCTCCAGGTAATAAGTTCCTTCAGTTAAGAGAACAATATCATCTGCAGACACCAAGTTGACAAGACTGTCTCCCTGTAACAAGGCAATCCTGAAGTCGCTAAAGTCGACTGAGGTCACATGTATTAGTACATCTATGAAATTAAACAAAAATGAAGACGTTGGGTATCCCTGATGGACATTACTCGTTATCAATCCATGTGACAACTCCCCACAAGCTCTTACGCGGCCGTGACTTTGAGTAGTGCTCTGACTGTTGCGACATACTTTCTCGGTTGGGCCATGCATTACCACTACACAACGGAGTCAAGTGCCACCTCCAGATGAAGAAATGCAGCAAGTGCATGCCGGTAAGTATGCTTTCGTTCTAGTGCCTGTCAGAAAGAAGGAGGCTTTCAGAGTAACACCAACACTTACAGCCCATTAACTTGGGCAGTTTTAAAGCCGACAATCTAGATCGAACTGAACACATTCACAGTTACGAAATCCTAAGTACCTAACTGAAATGCAGCATGAAACAGTAGATTCCACTCTGAGCTCTGATATGTCACAGCCAAAGAAATAATAAGTCTTTAACTTCCACGAAACAAAGGGAGTCATTTCTTCTTTAGAATTACAGATAAGTTGAATTATAGTGAAAACATTACTAACCTGAACACTGCTGAACTGAATGGATACCGACTTGCCAGTGTTTAACTTAGCCATAACAGATGCAACAGGAGGTTTAGTGCATTTGTAACCAAGACCAATTGGAGCTTCAGCCCATCCCATAGCTACAGGACTATCGGATAAATTAATACATGAATCTGATTCTGATGTGCATGTGATATTTATGTTGGATCCAGATACACCCCAATAACGACCTGATTTTGTAAACTGCACACTGAGTACCGTTAAGCAATAATAGCAACTGATTTACCTCATACTCAGAGATGTGATTTCACCTGTACTAGCCGTGAAAACAAGTAGTGATTCCGTGTCTGAGCATTTACTTTGTGTCGAGAGTTTTATTGAACTTGCTGGTATTGGTACAACACTTACTTTTGTACCAACTTGGAACTTGAGCGAAATTGAACGAGCGAAAAATGCCAAACAGCCAGACACATTGAAATACGTATAGTTAGTGCTATGAAGGCCGTTAGGAAAGTATGTGTTTCTCTTACTCTTGAGCTGTGCACAAACCCAGAAGTACGCCACACAACACCAAGATTAGAACACTTCTATCTATCATGAACCCGACTCAAATCAGGCGCTTTAAATTTTAACAACAAGGTCAAGCGTCCAGATTGCCGATCCAATATCGTTTTTACGAGCTAGTATAAACCAACTTGATTTCTTTGTGCTCGCCTCTCGATTGTGAGGTAAAGGTTCCTTATCTTCGGTAAACTTCTTTTTGACACAGTCCCTGTGTTGCTGCATGATTGTCCGGCCTACGCTTAAAGGTGTCCACAGACGGTGCCATAGCCATATCTGTCGGTAAGGAGTTACAAGGACGGCAGACGCGCAGTGAAAAGAAGTGGGAGTGCACCTGGGACCTTTCCCTCTGGTAAGATATTGTAGCGGTAAATAATTCCCCAAAATTATTAACCACAGCAATCATCACTCAACATTGGATGCTGACCCTCACTTTTTAAGTCAACTTGTTTAGCTGAAGGCTTCCGGTCAAGCATCCCCGCCAGTTGGTACTCCGTCGTGTCACGTGCGTGCACGATTACTAGCTAGCTAAGCATTCACTTCTACCCGCGATTTGGTCCCAAAATATACTACGTACTTTGGACGACTAAACCTGGTGTTTTGCTTTATCTTTCGTACTCGAAGAGCGAACACTATAGGAGTTGTTGGTATAAGATCTTGCGTTAGTATAATCCGTACAGTTCGCGAACTTCGATACCTGCAACCTCTAAAATATCCTTCTGGGGTTTCCACGAGGAAGCCTATACCTATTCAATGGCAGAACACCTTTATTTGGGTGATTCTGGTCATTTGTTATCTTGTAGGCAGTAATCAAATCCCCCCTAAGCCTACGGTAGCTAAGTGTGAATAGGCCTAATTTCTTTAGCCTTTCATCAAACGGTTTGTTTCGGAAACCAACCACTCCTTTTGTCGCCAGTCTTTGGACTCTTTCCAAGAGGTTGGCGTCTCTTCTAAACAGTGAGAGTGCTATGATATTATGCACTTCATTGTGTGGTCTGACGTATGTTTTTTACAACCTTAGAAAGAACTCAGGAGTGGGTACACCTAACTGTCTATGTGTAAAGTGTATGATCGCATATGTCCTCGCTACGTCCCCGTGTAATTTACGCTTCAGTCCATTTTTTCCCTTATAACTAGACCTAGGTCCCGCTCCGACGTTGTGCGGGACAAGCTTTCGTTGCACAAGGTGCACTTCTTCAGGTTGAAAGTCATGCCATTGGCCACTGCCTAGTCTTCCAGAAGCTTTCGATCTGCCCGCAGCCTATCTGAGTCTTCCGAACACTTTATCGCCCTCCATATCTTTACGTCGTCAGCGTATAGAAGAGTCGGGCAGCTTGAACGGCATGGAAGATCAATGGCCCTAGGATAGAACCCTACGACACTCCTGAGACGACGTGCAAGATAATCGGACTCGATGACCTTAGTGAAGAACTTCCTTCCATCTAGGTAATCCTTCAACCATGACAGAAGTGGCTAACCTATACCTGCCAGACTTATTTTGTGTAGGTCATGGTGAACTGTGTCAAATGCCTTCTCAAAATCTAGGAAGACCACATGGACTGGAACATTCATATCCCAGCATGATGTCCAATCGTCCCAAGCTGATAGCAGGTTTGTTACACAGGATATGCCTTTCCTGAAACCGTGTTGAGCTTCATGGAATCCATTAGTCCTATCGAGGTGATCCCTGATGTGATCATCAATAATACTTTCCAGTACTTTTGATACCATTGGGAGTAGGGCTATGGGTCTATAACTAGTGGCATTTTGCCTATCCCCACCCTTGAAGGTCAGTGAAAGGTGGGCTCTTTTCCACTCCCTCGGCAGTTTCCCCGAATCCACCGAGTGTTGTACCAAGTCTCATAAGGGTCTGCAGACAGCTTAGCCGCACTGTTTCAGAACAGATGGCCTCATGTCGTCACAACCTGGGGACTTTCCAAATGTGAGTCTCTGTAGCTTCCTAGTACTATTGTCAGATTTATTTGGGGAGTAGCCGTCAAGCCTTCCTCCAGTGAAATAGTGTACCGTACCGGTAACTCCCACATTGCTGTATAACTGTTTGGCGAAGGCTAAACTGAATGTTTCCACCATCTCCAGGTTAGTGAGGTATTGACCGTTAGGACCTACTAAGACGCATGCCCCTAATTGGTTGGTTTTCTTTCCGACATGAATCGATACAAGTTTCTGGGGTTCTCCAGGAGTTTTCTGGCAATGTTAGCCTGAAGGGACCTCCTGTCACTCCTGACTCTCACGTTGCACCGGTCCCTGAGTTCCAGGTATGCGTCGTGGTTGGTCTGACTCTTGGATACTCGCCACGTAAACCAGGCTTTCCGCTTTGCTTGCAGAATACGTTGCGTATTTCTCTTCAGCCATAATGACTATTTTTGGTCTGTGTTGTGGCTAAAGGGACGGTATTCGAGATTGCCGTGTGAATAATCTCTTTTACCACTTACTGGCGTTCATCCATAGATAACTCATCCCATGATAAGGGCCATTCTGCGCCGTACAAAAGCCTCCACATTTCATCATAGTCCGCCTTGTTATAGCACAGACATGGTGGCTTAACGTCCACTGCAAGTGCTCATGGAGAACAAGATCGAATCCTATTACTGCATGGTCACTACTTCCTAGAGGAGTTATGATCTGGACCTTTTCGATGAATAACCGGTCACTAGTTAGAATATAATCTAGTTTTGATGACTTTCCACTAGGGCCCCACCTAGTGTCGTCCCCAACATTCTCAATCAGTCCAGTATTTCGAATGTTTTGCAGCAGATTTCGACCGAATGTTTCCTGAGCACACTCCAACCCAAGGTTCAGTGATGGGACATCGAAATCTTCAGCTATGGTGATTTGGTCATAGCCCAAGTCCCGTATCACTGTGACGGTGCTGAGTGGTAGTTGGTTGTGCCCTGCTCCACAGATGGGTGATCGGTAGATGCCACCCAGTAAGCGTTTGGTGTGACCTACAGTGAAGTGACACCACTGGACTCTGGGAGTTTAATAAGTGGTGGTTTCATTGCACGTACACATTTAAGTTGCTTGTCAAAGTATATGGCAACTCCCTCTTCCTTAGTATCCCTGTCTCTCATGACCAGGACCACATCACCTGTACTGGTTTCGTTGTCGGTGGTAGTGAAAGTTAGCCAGGTTTCAGTAAGGATGATTATTTATAGGTGTAGGCATGACTGGGGGTTTCTGAGTTCACCTACTCCTCCTCTCAGCCCTCCCACTTTGCTATATAGGCAGCTGACAGTGAGTCTCACAACCTCAGCGTGTTGTGTGGTAGTTGACGTTACGTTGTCTGCCAGTAGGGTACTTAATATTGCGACTAGTTGGCCGATTCCAATGGAGCCGGCCCGTTGTCGTTTTTTCCATGGATTCGGATAGGACACTTGGGTGACACTGAATGTTATACTCAGTGCCGCATCGCTCTAGTGTCACTGAGGCTTGGGGACATATTAAGGCCTCAGTTCGCTTTCTCCTAATGGTTTGAGGTCTGCTTTCGTAGCATCGGATGTGTCCTCCCATTTTCCCCTTGGTCTTGTACCACCGTTGAAGTATTACGGCCAACTGTTCCTGGGAGTTGAATTTCACACTTAGCGACCTTGAGTAACTCATCAGTGTGATCACAGTGTTATACAGTAATATTTACTGTATATGATATGAGCAATACGGTTATGAACAATAAATTATGCTCGAAACGCCATCAGTAAATATTACTGTACAACACTGTGAGACTTTATCAAAATAAATCTCACCCTTAGTGGAATTATACACTACCATGGTGCACAAGCTCTATCAAAAAGTTCAAGACCTCAGAAGCGCTTTTAAAAAAGGCGACAGCTGACATATCTGAAGTGCAGTTTTCTCTACTACTGAGTGCATTGCCGACGTGTAAATGGAGTGCCTATAAAACTATATTGTGTATTTATGCCTCAAACGTATTTTGACTTTGTATGAAATAACCCATGTCCCCGGTTATGGAACATTTGCTCGCTCTGTTCCCTTAACTCATTCTTGAGAGTTAGAAAATACATTAGGTGCATTATCAGCGTCATTCAGAAACTGCAAACAAAATAGCCCAGCACACTGGGCTAGGAATTTACATCCAGCAGGAATCAGGAAAGCTGAAGCCACACACGGTAGTTGTTCTGCTTGCACAAGTTCAACGTACATCGTGATGTGATAAGTAAGCGACTCTGACACCGGAAGCATAGCTCTTTCAATGTACCAGAAAATAATAGAACCCTGAGGCAAGACAATGTTTTTGGTCTTAGAGCGGACGTCCAAGGATAGAACGTAGAACCAAGGGTCAAACTGCCTCACGTTGTCGAACGTACCAGTGTGCAGCAGCAGTCCGGTGGAAAGAAAGAAACTGTCCAATTAAAATCAGTGAGCTTCCTCGTGCGGCAGACTGGGGCATGTAAAGTTATATTTATTGTACAGGGGTAGCCAGGTGCTCAAAGATCAATAATCTTCGCTGTGGGTAACACTAACTTCTGCACACAACCTATACTCTTTCAAGTCCTGGTTACAGGAAGGTCTTCACATGTAAGTGAAGCGAATGACGAGTTAGCCGTCGGAATTGGTCCTCTCCGAGATTGTAAACAGCGTTCCGGGACTGGAAGTAGACACCTCTTGTGAGAAAAACGCTCGGGACATCTGGTAGTGGAAATGTATATGCCCTCAGATGATGCCTGGTGATTCATGGACAACTTCTGTTTGTGAGCTATCTTGCCTTACTCATCTCACATCAGCCAGCTCACAACTTTTGCGAGCTGCTGAATTTAGTCCCTCGAAGCAATCGATTATGTTCCTCCATCACTGGTAAAAGGCTGAAGATGAGATTATTGAGAATATTTGGTGTCGTTATAGAACACCCCAAAACTTAAGGTAGATACAGACTGAAGTACAAGCGCATCTACATTCCTCATTTACGTTACATCTGCGTGACCTGGATTACGATGACAACTATGGTCTCCAAGGTACCTACAGAAGGTAAGGCACAAGAGCGGCAACAGGTCTATACCACCGGAATTGGCCAGCTAGTTAGGAAGTCCACTTCTCACGCTGCGGGCTCC